AGAATTCAATGCTGGCGGCAACATTCTAACCGACTTCCGAAGTTGTCTTATCGCTGAATCTCTTGAAACACTTGTTTGCAACCGAGATTGGCTCTTGGCAAGACGTCGAGCTCAATAGTCAGGGTACGAATTCAATTCCGATCATTACATGAATGCAACCACATATGGAAGTCCGAGTTCTGAGGAATAAGTTATAAACTTTTTTATGTTAATGTAGACATGTAAATATGTAATTAGTTTTTTTAGGTGAGCGATATATAAGCTACTTCGAGGGTTTTTTACGGTTCTTTACCTCGTCGCTTTTTTTAAACCGTCAGGATATTAAATGTAGTTGTTCTTCAGTTCGTGTATTACTCATTTTACAATATTTAAATAACAACTACATTTTTAGATTTTTTATTTCATTCTTTTCTTTAACAATTGCAAATTTATAATTTTACACTTTAAAAATTTTAAAAAAAGCAAAAAAATATATTTGGGGGTGGCCAAAACCAGCCGGTTCGGGTACTGGAACCGGTACCGCCTGGTCCGGTCACGGTACCGGTACCAAGAGGTGGCAGTACCGGAACCGTCTCAGAACCATACCGTGTCCACCCCTACTTAAGATTCTTTTTTTATGGGAGGTTCTGAGTTCGAGTCACCTTACCATTTTTTTGGTGAGACCATAGGGTTCAATTTATTTTTATTTTTTATTTTTTGAAAAAAGGGGTACTGTAGTTGTGGAACTGTGGTACAGGAATGACATTTTGGCTGTGTGTGAGCAGCTCACGTGAAGGCGGTGAAGTTCCCCAGACAAAAATGCGACAAACACCCCTCCCGAGGACTGATTGGAATCTGTCTCGTAAACCCCTCCCTCTTCTTCCGCAGAATCGCCTCTCTCAACTCACTCCTCCTCACCTAAGCTCCCATGGCGTCCTTCTGTTTCAGCATCAAGACCACACCCATCTTCGAGCCGACTCGTTTCATTCCACTCCGAAATGCTTTGATTCGCCGCCGGCCAATCCAGTATCCGCCTCCGAGAAAATCCGCAGCTGCTTTGTCGTCTATCGTCTTCGCTTCCTCTTCCTCGTCCTCCCCGGCATCTCCCTCGGCCAGCATCCCCGAATCTGATGCTCTCAAGGTATTTGTAATTTGTGTATGTTTGTGTGCGCTTGCTGAACTATTTACCAGTTTAATTCTCAAAAATCGCAGATCAAATCTGTACCGACAAAGCCAATTGAAGGGCAGAAGACCGGAACGAGCGGGCTCCGGAAGAGGACTAAGGTTTTCATGGAAGAGAATTACCTTGCGAACTGGATCCAGGCATTATTTAACTCACTCTCGCCTGAGGATTATATGGACGGTTTGTTGATTTTGGGCGGCGATGGTAGATTTTTTAACCGCGAGGCGGCTCAGATAATCATTAAGATTGCAGCTGGCAATGGGGTTGGGAAAATTATGGTTGGCAAGGATGGTATAATGTCTACCCCAGCCGTCTCTGCCGTGATTCGGAAGAGAAAGGCCAATGGTGGCTTTATAATGAGTGCAAGCCATAATCCTGGTGGCCCTGAATATGATTGGGGCATCAAGTTCAATTACAGCAGTGGCCAACCAGCGCCCGAGTCCATCACGGACAAAATCTATGGGAACACACTGTCAATTTCTGAAATAAAGATGGCTGACATTCCAGATGTTGATCTCTCTCAGCTTGGAGTCACTAGACATGGGGATTTTGTTGTTGAAGTGGTCGATCCAGTCGGCGACTATTTGGAGCTAATGCAGGAGTTATTTGACTTTTCGCTCATCAAAGGTCTGATCTCCAGACCTGATTTCAGGTTCGTCTTCGATGCTATGCACGCGGTTACTGGTGCTTATGCGAAGCCTATTTTTGTTGACATGCTCGGAGCTAGCTTGGAATGTATTGTTAATGGTGTGCCCCTTGAGGATTTTGGGCATGGCCATCCGGACCCTAATCTTACATACGCGAAGGATTTGGTCAACATAATGTACGGCGAGGATGGCCCTGATTTCGGTTCTGCTAGTGATGGTGATGGTGACAGAAACATGATTCTGGGGAGGGGATTCTTTGTTACTCCTTCAGACTCGGTCGCTGTTATTGCTGCCAATGCGAAAGAGGCTATTCCTTACTTCAAAAGCGGTCTCAAGGGATTGGCTCGCTCCATGCCCACTAGTGGTGCTTTGGACCGTGTTGCCGAAAAGCTACACCTCCCATTTTACGAGGTCCCAACGGGTTGGAAATTCTTTGCAAATCTAATGGATGCAGGAAAGTTATCAGTTTGTGGGGAAGAAAGTTTCGGGACAGGCTCTGACCACATTCGGGAGAAAGATGGGATATGGGCTGTTTTGGCTTGGCTTTCAATATTAGCATTCAAGAACAAGGAGAAGAAAGCAGGGGAGACATTGGTTTCTGTGGGTGATGTTGTCAAGGATCATTGGGCAACTTATGGGAGGAACTTCTTTTCTAGATACGATTACGAGGAATGTGAGTCCGAAGGAGCCAATGAGATGATTGCATATCTTAGAGGTTTGGTCTCTACAAGTAAGGCTGGTGATAAGTATGGAAGCTATACCCTCAATTTCGCCGATGACTTTTCCTATGTTGATCCCGTGGATGGAAGTGTTGCATCCAAACAGGGAGTGAGATTTGTGTTCACGGATGGGTCGAGGATCATCTTTAGATTATCGGGCACTGGTTCAGCTGGTGCTACTGTAAGAATGTATATCGAACAGTTCGAGCCAGATGCTTCTAAGCACAATGTTGATGCCCAAACTGCATTGCAGCCATTGATAGATCTTGCTCTCTCAGTGTCGAAGCTGAAAGAGTTTACCGGAAGAGAGAAGCCAACTGTGATAACATGAAAACAACACTCAACTTTATATATGGTATCAGGTTGCCGACTCCTTCGTCTATTTGTTGAACAATTCAATTTATCATTTTTTTTCTTGTTCGTGTTGCATGATAAGCTGTCCCCGAGGACAGAAATTAGCTTCGTTTTAAAATGTGTGGAACTTGTTGTGAGCAAAATCTGGATACACCATATGTTGATTTTCATGTTGTCAAATAATCCTAATGGAAGCAGATTGTGTACAACTGTTCTGTAAAATTTTGCTAGTACATCATGACCAGATGGTTTCTGAAGTTACCATTCATCTTATAGGTTGCCTTGAACTCTTAATCTTTGTGCTAGGAGGATGAACTTCAAAAAATACCCAATCACCAAATCTCAATTCATATTTACCTACTTTGGCATACTTTTCTGGTAGCTTTGGGTTGTTGTCTTTAAAACTTGTGCTCACTATTTTCTCACTTATCAATGTCTCTCTCAAATTCAAGACTACTATCTCTCAATTTTAATAGCTTGTTCAGGTTTACTACTCAATAACCAGACATTTACTACTCAGTGATTTGAGTTCCCCAGTAAAACTGGAGCAGCATTTTTTTTTCTGTTGCTGGTGTTTGAAAATCATCTCATTCATAAATTTTCTTTGTTTGCTTTCTAGATCTTCATAAGTATCTACTTTTTTTGATCTTTTTTGTTCTCTTTTATTAAAAAAAGAATATTAAAAAAACAAAACTTTTTATGTTTAAAAGAACCAAGGGTTTTGAGATTTAAAAAAATTTAGAAGAGTTTAAACAGTATAAACATGTTTTAGGAAAAAAAAATAGAACAGAAAAAATTAGAAAAAATAGACGAGACAAAAAGATTTGAAAGAAATGATTTTGATTATAAAAAAGTTTTAACATGGTTTCAAATTTAAATAGAAAAAAAATAAGATTTAAAAAATTAGAGTAGTAGCATAAAAAAATTGGATTTTAATATTTTTAAAAACCTGTTTGAGATTTAAAATAAAAAACAGTCATTTACAAAATTGTTTAAGTTCTTAAAGATAGTTCTACGTTGTGATCTTAGCCTAATAAAATGGAATATATATAATACGTGATTGGTGTTGAATCTTTCTAAATCGAAGATCTACTATAATTTAATATGAACTCGTTTTAAATTTCTCAACATGTCATACAAAAAAGAATGTTAAAAAAAATAGTTCTAGATTTAATTACAAAAAAAAGTAGGAAGAAAAACAACAGGGCAGTAGCAGTACAATACAAAAAATACTTTTTAGATTTCAAAATCAAGGAAAAAGAAAATTGAAAAATTGCTCTAACGTTCATTGAAGAAGAAAAGAAAATGTATGAGCAGAAAAGATATGTGTAATAATGAGTAAGAAATCCTTAAATATGATTGATTCTTTAAAAACCATGTTTTTTAAATTAGTTTAAAAGGCTCAATTTAATACCTCTAGTTTTTTTGTAAAATTTATATTGACTTTTTAGAATCCTAATTTACTACACCTAAATTTGTATGGATTTTAAAATTTACAAATTTAATACACCCTAAGCTTTTAGATTTTATGGACTAGTCCAAGAGAGATATCGAATTTGATATCTCCAGATATTATAAATTCTCTAAACGGAAGCTTTCATATCTCCCGAATTTGGAAGATATAAATATGTGAGTTATGTATCTTTCTCAATCGTTGACTATTCTCTATTATCAACTATCATTGTCATCGCCAACCACCTTGTTGCCACTTATCCCTCTATCACTAATGAAATCCATTCTAAACACTTTTAAACAACTTCTGTCTCAAATTACAAAACTCATACTCCTCCCATCCCAGTGTATTTGTACAATTTGACTTTTTCGAGTCAAATTAGACAAACTTTGAACTTCAATTAAATAAAAACAGTAATGTGTTTTAACATAAAAATGACTTTATTAGATTTATCGTATTGAGAACTTTCAAAATTGTATTTCATTATGCTTATATGTAATATAAATTGAGAGTAATAAGAGTTCAAAATTATTCCAGTTGAACTCGAAAAAGTCAAACCGAACATACACCCTAAGGTAGTATTACTTTTTGAGATTTCAAAACACACATATATGAATTTAAAACTTACCAAAGGGGTATTATTCTATTGGACCTGGTATGAACGGCCCAATGAGCCTCCAATTTCTTTTTTCTTAATGATAAAGTTCCATACTTCCATGTTGGGGTGTTGCTTGGACGAGGGACCACGTGTCCACGTTCCACCGGAACAGCGACACAAGTCTTCGAACCATTCTCTTTTCCAAATCTCACACCCCATTCCTTTGTGACTAGCTGAGCAGAGCCAAGTGTAGGCGGAATGGATGGATTGAAGAAGGTCGACAAATGGGGTTATAAAGTGAAGACTTCTTCTGAACCTTGTATTACGGCCATCAATTCCTATTACACTCAGGTTCTTTATCTGGGCTCTTTCCATTTCGTAATATCTGTTCATGATTTTTGTGATTCTTGGTTCCTTTTTTTTATTATTATTGGTCGATTGTTAATTTGGGTCCAAAAAATACTGAGGTGAACTCAGGTGATTGGTTATGGAAGAAATGTGAATGTGATTTTGGATGCTCCTCGAGCTGACCCAGACTGTGTTTTGAGCAACATTTTGGCAGCCCACTTTCTCTTCTCCTCCGACCCTTCTAAAGCCATTCGACTTCTTGAAGATGCCAATTCTCGTCTCGTAACCTCTTTTTCTTATTTCCTAATAACTTGTATTTGATAGTTTTTGCTTCTTTTTTTTTGAAGAAGAAGATTGAATTGGTTCTTATTTTTGATGGGTACATAAATAGGGAACTGCTACCGTATATGAGAAAGCGGTTTTTGATGCTGTCAGTTATTTGATTTCTCCCGGAAAAGATGATGATGAAGCTATTGAATTGCACTTCAAGGTGCCATTTATGTTACTTTTTTTTCTTTGTTATTTCCCATTTTCCTTGAAAGTTTAATTTCCCCTCAGTTGGTTTGATGGAGTGTGAATTAACTGAAATCATATAGTTTGAGACTCAATGGAATATTTATGAACATGTATATGAGTTGAACTTGGGCTTTGCAGTTCTTTTCTATTATTGAATATAGAATTCATGTTTACAACTCTTCTCTCTCTCTCTCTCTAGCTCCTGAAAGATTTTCCGAGAGATCTTGCATCTCTGAAACGGGCACAAGTGCTTTGTTTTTACATGGGTCGACCTGATATCTCATTGAGGCTTGTTGAGCAGGTTCTTTTCCTGCTTCAGAATATATTTATTGAATGCTAGATATTGTATTAAGCTAGTTGACATGTGATTGCGCACCCATTTAGAGGCAGAAATGATTGGAAATTAAATCTTGTGATGTTCCTGTTAAAATTTGAATCTCCCTTGGTGTTTGCCAACAGGTTCTTCCACATAATGAAGGAGAGAATTACATTTATGGCATGCTTGCTTTTCCTTTACTAGAGCTTGGTAGGATGGCAGATGCTGAGAAAGCTGCAAAGAGGGGATTGGAGATCAATAAGGAAGATCCATGGGCACAACATGCGGTTAGTTGAACCATAGAAGTATTCTCCATTGAGTTTTACCCTTTTATTTGGCAATATCTTGAATTCATGAATGTTATTTTCATTTCCGTGGGCCATAATGTGTTACTAGTAATTTTAAAATTTATCCTACCATTCAATACACTTTAGGATTTAAAGATGCTTACTTTGTTTTAGTCAATTTCCTATATGTTAAAGGAAGTGGAAAGAGGAAATGGGAATTTCTTTCCAAGGTCAAAGTTGTTTTCCAGGATTAATGAAATAGCAGCACTTCGTTTCTATTAGTATAGATTGCAGTAGGATGCAAAAAGTTAACTTTATCAGCTGAACTTAGATATTGTTTGACCTTGGCTGCAGCTCTGCCATGTTTATCACTATCAATGTCGGTTCAAGGAAGCAGTTGAATTCATGGAAGAATGCTCGCAGTCGTGGAGTTCCTTGTCATCATTCATGTATGCATCATTTTTCAGGGATTTTGTCCTTTTATTTTGATGCGTCCATTGCCAATATAGCTAAAAGAGTCATTATTGATGATGTTTTAGCTTCGGGTAAGTAATGGATTAAAATTAAAGTGACACATTAAACTCTCCTTTATTTTCTTTGGAGCTTAGGATAGTATATGCTATAATGTACTCAAGAGTTTAACTTAACAGTTTCTNCCCCCCCCCCCCCCCCCAAAAAAAAAAAAAAAAAAAACCAACGGAGTTGGGATTATACTGGGTTTTTGTTGTTATTCTTTCATTTTGAGAAGCTTTTTGGTAGGCTAAAGAAAATCTTTGATCAGGTTCACTCATAATTGGTGGCATGTTGCTCTTTGTTTCTTGGAAGGTCATTCACCCATCACAAAAGTAGAAGAGATTTATGACAAGTGGATCTGGAAAGAACTGGAAAGAAGTGATGCTATGCCTGCGGAGGCATGTCACTATGTATTCCTTAGTTTTAGATCCCTTACAATTGGATTGAAGAATCTTATTCCTGCATATGCTTGTAGGTCTACCTTAATGCTGTCGGACTGTTATTGCGAGTATATGTAAGAGATGAAATAAAAGTTTTTGAGGAGCGTCTGAAGATGTTGGCCGGTTGTTTGGCAGACCGAGTAAGTCCTTTGATGCCCCTTTTCTTTGTGTTTTCCCTTTTCTTTTTTCCAAAATAAAAATTACTCGGTATTTTTTATTTTGTCCATTGAAGTAACATATTACTTTTCTCTTTTCTTTGGGTTCATTTACAAAACTAAACAATTGTGATTTATGTCTTTACGAAAGCAATCTGCTTGCCAAATTTCTAGGGTGTTTGGTATCTTGAGTGGCACCTTGATGTGTTGATAGTGTGGGCACTAACTTACACAAGAGACACTGCCAAAGCAGAAGATCTTCTGAAGGGATTGAGATACAGGTTATGGTTAACTTGTCCCTCATTTTTTATTTTAGTACTCCCTCTATCCAATAATCTTCTTCCCATTCTTCTTTTTGTCCGTCCATAAATTTTCTTCCCATTTCCTTTTAGGGCACTTTTTTTGCCTTAAATGTCAAATTTTCGCTTCTACCTTCTACGTTTGTAATGATTATCTGTCAAGTTTCCACTATTCATTTTTTAACTCTCACTTTATCATGTCTTCATTGTTCATTTGCACTATTCCCTTTTGAAAACCCAAGGGCAAATCTGAAAAGTCAATGTCTTTTTCATGTCTCATTAACATGTGCGCCGAGACAAACCGGGAAGAAAATTCTTGGATGGAGGGAATGTATTTTATTCTTTTCCTTTTCTTTTTTTGCCTAATAACTATTGACTACTTGATTGAAACAGTCCAAGTTTCTTTTTCATCTGCAGGCATTCTCTGATGAGCAAGAAGAAGCAACATGTTATGCAAAAAGGGTTGCTGGTTCGTGCATGCAGCTTTTCTAATCCCATCCCCACCCATCATTTATTCCCTTTAATGCCTTAATCATCCACTTGTAAAGCATTCTCGTTTTTCTCGACTTGGAATAGTCCACCATTATGCCTGACTGTTTCTCGGCTCTCGCAGTTCACTTTAAATCATCTGCCGTTATTGATCGAGCAAGCATTAAACAACAGTTTAGAGAATTGTAGGAGAGAAAAAACACTCATTGCAATTTCTAAGTCTCAAACTGTAAATCTATCCTCACTTGTGACTTTAGCTTGCAGAAGCCCTCTATGAGTATGGCAGGGGAGAAAATGAAAAGGCTTTGGAATTGCTCGGTCATAAGTTTGATGCTAGAGATTATAAGGTATATATGCTCTGTTTGGCAACCAGCTACTATGTGTTAGTTGATGGATGTTTCTGTTAACGGTTTGGGTATATGCGCGTCTCAGCTATATAGAAAAAAAAGTGTTTGGTAGGATGCTTTGTTTGCGCCACCTATTTGGGTTGTTTTGATAAAAAATTATGGGGTGTTTTGAAAAACAAACTTTTTGTAAACCACATTTTTGGTTTGGGACCTAGATGTTTTCCCTAAAAGCACGTTTTTGAAACGCTTCTATTAGCCGTTTGACAATGCTAGAACATCTCATTTACGTCAAAAAACTTATCCGTTAACCACATTGCCAAACACCCCCGTAATGTTTGTTGGGTTATATGAATGTCAGCGCTATTTTTCATGGCTGTACATGCACCTGCAAACTTTTGCAGATAATTGGAGCCTCAGATGAACAAGTTGATGTTTTTAATGAGATTTGGATCACTCTGTTGATAAACACCGGACAAGCTACAAAAGGTACACTAATTTGCAGGTGACTTTAAGCGTTTCAAATGCATAGTTCTTTAATCCACACATTTTGAGTTCCAGCTATAGAAGCAATGGACCAGCAGGTGAAGAAGAGAGGAGCCCCGTTCTTAAGCCACCTCCTGGTACGACTGCTACTGATTTACGCGATATAGATTGAACGTTTCGGGCTTCATTTCATTTGAACTTGGAATGGGATTATGAGAGTGTGTTTTTTTGTTAATTCAGGAGAAATGTTATGAGATTGTAGGAAGACCAGAAGCTGCTAAAACCTGTACAACTTAAAGAGACTTGACAAAGCTGGGTAGCAAGAAGACCGAGATGGAGCAGCAAATCTGTGTTTGCATGCTCCACATGTGTGTGTGTTTCATGAATAAGATAAGGAAATCATGCCCTTATTCCCTTGTTATTGTAATATCTTAAAAAACAGTGTGAATCTTAAAAAACAGTGCATTAAAGACCTGACTTGTACTTGAAAACATTCTTGGTCAAGCCGGACCTTGATGGGATTGAGGCTATGTTCTGTTCGCTTAATTTGACGGGATCTCATCTAATTTTTTTGAAGATTTGGTCTGATTGGATCTGATATGATTAGATCTCATCTGATTGAATCTGATCTAGTATGGTTAGATCTGATATGATTAGACCTGATCTGGTTTGAATTGAATAGATTTTATCTGATCTCATACAAATAAAAGGTCAAGTCATTATAAAAGTTGTATTACTACTATTTATTACTTCCTCCGTCCAAAAATAATCTTCTCTTTAACTATTCATATGGTCAAATTTTAGTCATATTGTTGGTCTATTTTTTATGCCTATTTGATAAAATAATATAGTAATGTTACCTCTAATTTTCTAGCTTTTTTGATTAAGTTTTTAAACATGTAATTTTTATTTTTTAATTCCACACAATTTTTCTTATAAAATGATTTCAAAATAACTTCAGTCAAACATCGTAACGCGCAATGAGAAGATTATTGTTGGACGGAGAGAGTGTTATTATTATTATCATTATTCTCATTATTTTGACTATTATAATTATTATTCTTAATATTATTATTATTATCAATTCACGTCTTATATGATATGAAAAAATGAATAATATTATGAAGATGTAGAAAAAGAAAATCATTGATAACAACCAATTACTCCGTATTAGAAAATATGGATATTATGTTACAAATGATAAGTTTTGTATATCTCATGTTAATCATGTTAAAAATATAGATATCGTAATACTCGTGTTAAAAATCGTGCTAACATAATATTTTATTTGTAAATGTCAAAAAAAATTCACTCTTTATGATTCTAGTATATTTCGTTCCCATTTAAAAAGAATTTAACCAGTAATTTTTAAATGTTTTTATGATTTTGATACTTAAAACTTTTCTTGAAGAAAAAAATAAGTAATTTTTATAAGACCAAAAGAGTAATTCTATACTAATTATTTTGTAATAATATAAAAATATTACCATTGTTTTTCAATATTTTTTCCCGATTTATTTAATTTAATACTCTTTCGTCCCAAAAAGAACCCCCTCAATAAGATTTTAAAAATTATGAAAATACCAAATAGGAGTTGTAAGTTTTTTAAGACCAAAATAAGAGTTCACTCTACCATTGTTACATTGTCATACTCACCACATTGTCACATTGCAACTGCCATACTATCATTGCCACACTGCTATTCGTCGCTGCCAGCCACCAGAGTGCCTCCGTAGATCGTTGACGGTTAAGTAATCAAGCTGCCATATAGCATTGTCATCACTATTTTATCACACTGCCAACACATACTCTTACATCACACTGCCATTATACTTCTATTTTAGTTTAAAAAGATTTAGGATTCCTATTTTGGAATTTTAATACTTTTTACTCTATTTAGGGAGATTTCTTAACTTTGACGGGCTAACAATCTTTCCCTCTCCTTTGCATCACTTTCAACCATACGCTTTCACTTTCCTTAAACTAATGACAAGTCAAACTGTGAACTTTTTTTATTGGGCGTTATCTGATATGTTTTGATCTGATCAGATTTTAATAAGAATAAGTAATAAGCTGAAAAATAAATTGAACGGAACGAACTCAGCTGAATATCTATGCCACCAAATTGCCTATATTTTTTAAGTTTTCTTTAAGAACTATTGTAGTATTCATCCATTTTATTAATAATCACAGTAAAGAATATAACAATTTTAGTTTGACTTTTTTATATTGTCGGGAATCGGACCCAGATAATTTTAGTTATACTATTTTTAATTCACTGTTATGAAAAATGATAAATAAACATAATAGTATGACCAATGTTTTGCGAAATATTTGCACTAAATAGCACTAAAACTTAAGTCATTTCTTTAAATAGCACTTAAATTGTTTTATTCATTAAATAACACTTAATAATGTCCATAATGTCCTGTGATGTCGAATATTAACTTGAATAATGACTAATGCATAATGACTAAAAGTGCTACATCGGGAAGAAAAAACACATGTGGTGCTATTTAGGGAAAGTTATTATGTTTTAGTGCTATTTAAGTAAATTCCTCATGTTTTGCTAAAGCAAAATTGGAGTCCTAACTTTTAATGCAACTCATGATTTAGAAGTCGAAAATATTTGATTGAGTTTAAATGCTAGTGTATGACCAAATATCATGGGCAATGCTAGGGGTACACCAACATGGGGTACCCTATATGTACACTAAGCCAACACAAATACAAAATGTCTGTGTTGCACAGACATAGACATTTTGTGTCTGTGTTGGCTTGGTGTACATATGGGGTATCCCATGTTAGTGTAATTCAATATCATTCATACTTATGCACTATTGGCATTTAGGTTACATTTTCTTCACTTCCGTACGAGAAAAGCATGCATTGGTTTATAAACTTCTACTTCAACTATTGCTACCAACATTGTTCGTTCTTCTCGTAAATTATCTTTCATAAAAGTTGTCACGGATGTAGAGTAAATAATATTTTACCATTTTTTCTATTAGGTCGTTGAATAGTTCTATTAATGATTGGATGAAATTTCATTTTATGAAAAACCATCATTATATTAGGGTCACCAATAGTTCCATCTTCTCTCCGAGCTATTCACATCCTAAATTGTTGCAAATAAATAATTCTATTATGTCTTACTCGGGGTACATTCGTAACTCTAATATTCTCACTGAGTTTTAACACATTGTTATCACTCCACAAGTATGATTAATTAATTATTGCAAAAACAATGTATAGTCTAATACCTTTTGAAATCACAAGTACTATTATTTGTCTAAAATCTCTAATAAAGATAATACTTTAAGTTTAAGGAATTTGTTGCCTCTGGGTAGAGAAGTTATAAATTGCTTATACATTGATGACATGCTGATATTTGGCTTTGATTAAGATCAAGTTAACTGAACCAAATAAGTGATCAGTTCAATTGTGAAAAATTTTCTCTGCTTAATACTCATATGTATCCTAGTATAAAGGTAATGCCTAAAAGAGGTAAAGTTGTATCTCAATATGAGTAGTCAATGGCTGTTAGTTGCTTGATATATGACATGTCTAACACACGATGTGACATGATATTTATTTTTGGAGAGCTAAGTAGGTAAACTAACAATCCAAGAACATATCATTGGCAAATTATTCCATATAAAATACCTATATGAAGTCTGGCTTAAAGATAACATATATCTATCTATATACAAAGCAATATGGTCTCAATATTTTAAAATATTAAATTTTAATAACATATACTCACAGAAATTCTTTTTAATTTAATTTATTTGAAAGTTGGTGTGAAATTAAAAAATAAAAATAATAAGACATAGGAATTACATCAAAAAATTTACCCGGAATATAAACAAAAGAAAATAAAATTATATTATTTTATCAAATAAGTAGCGAAAATAGGTAAGAAATGTTTCAATATTAAACTTGCAACTTAAATTAGAACAAGGAAAGTACTCAATAATTAGCGAGCAATTCAATTTATTAAAATACCTTTTATCAAATATTATCAAATATTATATTACGTGAAAAATGAAAGTGTAAGCAAAAAAATATAAGGGAGTAAGTTTTAACAAGGTATGAAGGTGATTTGTATGGAGGCGGACAAATATACTCCCGTACTGCGTTGCAATTTTTAGTGGATATCGGTAATAAAAATGGATCCAGCCCCGCACAAAGCCCGGCCCATTTGTTTGCACTCAAAGCAGAACAACGGGCAGAGCGTGAGGGAGACGCGCGAGGCAGCGAGAGTGGGGATGAACATTGCCAAAACCGTATTACACAACAGGCCTCGCCTCGCCCCTCCCTCTTCCCCATGTAAATGTAACCAGAGACCACACCACCTTCTTCTCCTCCTCCCCCATTTCCCCCCCCACTCCATCGGAACTTCTCTCTCTAAACCCCATTGGCCATTCCTCTTTCTCGATCCTCACCACCCTTCACTCCTCTCTATCTCTCTCTCTCTAAAACCCTATTTCTCTCTCCCCACCCCAGCGCCGCCCTTTTTACCTCTTCTTCTTCTCCTCCTCCTGCAACAACAATGGCGTCTCTCTTTCTCTAGTCCTTTCATCTCTCTCTCTTTTCTCTCGTTTCTTTCCCCTTTCGTTACACTTTCTTCGTTTTTCAGCTGTTTTTTTGTTGCTGCCGGAAATGTCGGCTCGTACGTGGAACGGTTCTTACTCTGAGTCCACCCACCCTCCCCGCCCCTCCCGCCGCTTCTACCAGCCCCCCCAAACTCGGAATCCCGTCTCCGATGCCTTCTATGACAGCGTCGAGCGCTTCGGCCGTTCGACTCGCGGCGGAGGCGCCCGTGGTAGGGGAGGCCGGGGTGGAGGAAGAGGACGTGGGCTGGGCCGTCCGATGAACCCGGTTTTCAACGACCCGGACCCTTTTTGGGACGCGGATGATCTGGGAGAGGAGGAACCGGCTGAGCCCAACGGGAAAGCGTACGACGACGTTCCCGTGGAGGCTACCGGGAAGGACGTCCCGGAACCGGTGACGTCCTTCTCTGATCTCGACATCTCCGAGGCCCTCCGCCTGAACATCACCAGATGCAAGTACGCAAAGCCGACGCCCATACAGAGGTACGCCATTCCGGTGGCCATGACCGGGAGGGACGTTATGGCCTGCGCTCAAACTGGCTCCGGCAAGACGGCCGCCTTTTGCTTCCCCATTATCAACGGTATTCTCACAAACCCGCACTCTCGGAGCCCTAACGGCGCCTTTGACGGCAGAAGAGGTTACCCAAACTCCAGAGCCGCTTCTCCACTGGCTCTCATTCTGGCTCCAACCAGAGAGCTTTCTTGCCAGGTTATTACTTGCTTGTTTGTTCACATCTGTATTATTGCTAGTTCTTCATCATCATCAATACATGAATGTAACCCTCTACAATCTGGCTAATCTTATTTTCTGCATGATATGTTTCTATGGACATGAAAAGTTTTGATACATTTGTCTTCCTTTTACTGTTTGGACAATAATGGCTTCCCCTCTTAACCTATTACTGTCTTATATATCATATATG